ATTATTATTATTACTATTATTATTATTATTATTATTATTAATTATTAATATTATTAGCTTTTGGAATGAATACATTTTAATTCCAAAGAAATATAAAATGAAGATAGTCAGGAAGATCATGATAGGTGAACTGCATCAGACTGCATATTTCAGGTCAGTATAGAAAGGCATCAACAAATAGTTTCTCCTCAGCAGCAAAGTGCACCAGCGCAGCAATTACCTCAGGCATATTATCCTCAGTATAACCAGAGACGCCCAATGCTTGCTGTAGGTTTTGAATGGTTTTCTTTGATTTCAATAATGATAAAATGTCTGATTTTTCAGTTTTGTATGACCCATTACAAATGATTACTTTTTAATAATGGTATTTCCGTTTGTGCTAACGCTAAAAACTTTGACCAAATATGTTCTTCCTCGTTAGCGACGTAGAGAAAAAAAGGTGTTTCAATTATGTTATCCTTAAGGGTTTCGCAGTCCGCGGACAAATACCGCAGCAGCAAGCTACTGTTTATGCACACCAACAGGGACAAATGATGCCTCCTCATTACATCCATGTGCAACAACAATCAAGACTTTCTGGACAGCCAATGCCAGTTCATTTCCAGCAGACAGTCTCTTTAGAGCAGGTGAAAAAAATCTGATTTCAGCAGAAAACGAAAGAATATCTTAACTTTTTTACGATTTTTTTGTCATATGTTTATTCATTTCCCGACTTCGCAACAAATGTATCGCATTTCACATTCATTATCTCGATTTTAACCTCTGAATTCATAAAGTCTCATTCCTTTCGGCATTTATCTGTTTTGCTTTACATTTGAAATATTGAAATGTTCAAAGAAAAGTCACGTTGCTGCTTTTTAAGGATATAGGCGCAGCTGGGGGTCAAATGCCTGTTGCCGCTCCTCCTCCCAAGAAAAGAAAACGACCAACTAAAAAGCAGTTGAAAGAAGCTGAAATGGCGCAGCAAGCTGCAGCTGCTGCGGCAGCGCAACAGCAGTTCATGATGGAGCAGCAGATGAATAACCGAGTGCCTTCTGCAAATGCTCATACGGTGGATAGGCCTACAGTCATGTCACAGGTTGTATATATATGCAGTTTTGTCTTCATCAGTTTACAAATTAATCGCACTGTTGTTTTATGTAGGCTTATTAAAAACACTATAAACATAATCAAAATATTGGTATTTTAAACGGAGTGGGTTAATTTCCAAACTGTGAACTCTCGTAAAAAACAGTTATGAACACGAGAAACTCCATGTGTAGATTGTACACATACGGAGGTTTCTGGTGTACACTCAGATAACTATGCTTTTTAGTGCTTTGCATAATAGCAAATATTAGTAGCTTATTCAGGTCCTGTCGAAGTACTCAGGTTCTGTGAAATAACTAATGTGTAGTTCTTCTTACACCCATATTAGGGAGTTTAAATGGGTATATAATGATAAATCTTGGTTTCCAGGTAATGCATAGTGGACAGCCGAATATAGGAATAACTTATGCGCAACATTCGCAAGGGTATCCTCCACAAACTCTTCGTTCTCCTCCGGCTGTTTCTGCACAAACAGGACCAGTGATGCAGGTTGTTCATTGAAAAGAATTTTTTGACGAATTTGGAATTGGGATTATATTCTAATTGTGATTTATAATTCGAACTATTGTTTGATGGTCGCCTTTCGAATCTTTCACAGTAATTTGTTACTGTTTTTAAAAATTTTCAGAATCCATCTTCGAATTCTTCCTTTTATCAACAACAAAACGTTTGGATTCCACAGCACCAGCAACAAGTGCGTTTTAGGCTTTTTATTTTTTTCATGGTTTTTCAGCAAAGGAGACAAGGAAGTTTTATCAGCTATATTCCAAATTTTTTAGTTTTCCATTACCTATTTCCCTGACGTTCTTCCAGAACTACTTGTTTATCATAATTTTTTATTTGCTTAAAATTAGGGTAGTGTGCTGAGGATATATTATTGTTTTTAAAAACAAGAATTTCGATGTGATGATTTTGAATTCCAGATTATGCCACAGCAACGGACACAGATGATGTATAGTGGTCAGATGCAGCATCACTGGCAAAATAATCAGACGCATCATCCACGAATGATGTATCCTCAAGCGGATAACGGTTTGTTTGTTAGAAAATGATTGTTAATGTTACTGCGTGCATGATGTGTGACAAACATTTGGAGCATTCTCAGTAAATAAAATTTTTGTCCTCAGATCATACTATATTCTAATACAAGATAACTATTATGGCGCGTTACTGTGGTAATTATGAAAAATAAGCGATATGTCACCACAATAAGACAAATGCTTTGATAATAGATGTAGATCACGTAAAAATTAAAGCATTTAAAATCAAAGCAGATCTCAAAGAAATGTGATTACTCCTGTTTCGAAATACTGGTTCTCTTGCAGTATCCGATATGAGTGCTGGTTCATCTGGCAGTGTCCATACATCTCCTATGACTAGTCGAAATGCGTCCATTGACTACTCACCAGCATCACAGTCTAGCAGCGCGATGTCGCCATTATATCAGCAACAGCAAGTAAGCTTAGATTTTTCATGAAATGAATAATTTTAATTTGTTTAGCAACATTTACTCGACAATATTTGGTGAACTTAGGTTTTTAACCAAGCTTAATTATGACTTATGCAGCCAAATATGGTTTATCAGCAGCCACCAAACCAACAAACACCTCCATCTGGTTTAACTTATCCGCAACCTTCATCATCACAACAGCAAGTAGGTGTTCCTGCACGACCTCAGCAGCAACAAACAATGCCAGTGCAAATACAAGAACCACAACAACAGCAACCACCTCCGTTCTCTGCAGAACAACAATGTCTAGACATGCAACCGAAGAGCTGCTTGCCGGTATTACAAGGTGGAGGCGATTTTGAAATGGATGATGAACTGGGTGCTAATATTGCTGATGACTGTAAGTTGTCTGCTGGTTGGTAATTGTTAATTTTAATTTTGAAGGTATTTTAACTTTAAAAAATGCAAATTTTTGGTGCTGCAAATATAAATTTCATAAAACGAATATCGAAGGTGTCAATTAACATATTGCAAATATTGCAGCTATTGATAGGACATTTCATTTTTAGGTGGCGATTACAGTGATTTGGATTCCATTGAACCAATGACCGAGTCGAGCGAGTTTGGGGCCACATTGATGGCTTCCCATCAACAGATGCAACAACGGCCAGCAAGTACTCAGCAACACATACAGCAACAACAGCAGCAGTACTATGGTCGTATGTTGCCTCCTCAAAATCGTTACGACATTCAATTACCAATGCAACAGCAGGGTGTTGGTTACATGCGACAAATGTGTAATGAAACACAAATGCGGCAATCTGGCTTTCCGGGTGCTCTCAGTCTATCTCAACAACTACAGCAATCACTTTCTCAGGGTTATTCATCACAGCAGCAACAGCAACCACAAGGGACAACCAATTTATTTATGAGTCCACCATCACAGCCAAATTGTTCCCCTAGCCCTTATACTCCTCGATCATCACCATTAAAAGATGGCAACAGCTTTGCTACCCGACAGCAGCAGCAGCAGTCGAGACATATTGCAGTAACACATCAGCAGTATGCGACATCTCCGTTACCGCAACAGCAACATCAGTCTGTTCGTACACCACTTAGTGCTCCACCAACTGTGCACTCACAGTCACAGCTGCATCCAAATTGTGGACGAATTGATGATTTACGATCATCTCGATCAGGTCGGTTTGCTTATTATCAATTCATTTTGTATTTAATGCAACTGAACATGATTCCGCACTTTCCATGTAACTGTAAAATGAGCTTAGGATGACTAAACTGAGAAATAGTGAGTTCATTACCGAATGATTCACCCGTCTTTAGATAACTTCCATCATTGAATGCTTTTTGTAGCGGAATCGTAGTGGTTCTACTGCATTGAAAAAAAGCTCCTCATTTGGTTAAAGTCGAATGTGTTCATATATGCCTCTCTAATTATTATAATGTTGGAGACGTTTTTTTGAGTATAAATTTGAAAACCATTCACTGTCTCGACCAATGATTTAATAGGCATTACTAAAGGATTAAATCTGATGAATAACATTTAAATCCAAAAATATTTTCAGAAGGTGAAGCAACGCCGCGAGCGCCAACCACTGATTCAAACGTCGCTTCCATTGAATATGATAAGGATCCTATCAATTCTACAATAGGTACACATGAAATGTTGTTTCTTGCGTTACCTTTAAAAGTCGCAGAAAAGTTAAGAATCTGAAAAGGAAAAGATCTAGTAGGAAGAACTTGCAGGTTCTCATCGAAACTGGTCCACATTAATCAATGTATTATTTACTTGGTCACAGTGGAGTTTTTAAATGTTTCAAAGAGGACGTCATTTTATTGATTACTTCACTTTTCATCTGTTTAACTGCAAAGAACTTGAGCTTTCCACCTCGCCCGGTTCATCTTTAATACTTAGTAACTGATCGTCTGACTCATTATGTTTTTTATTGTTTGCTTTGAAATTGTCTCATTCAGATGCAGTAGTTATGCGAGCACTTTCGGACCAAGACAGCCTTTCGTCGACAAGCATTTCGAATTATTTTCGTGGGTCACGAAATCGTTCATCAGCAAATACTCAGTCTTCGACGGCTGAACAGACTGGGACTAATGACAGTGCGTATTTCATTTTTCATTTGTACATTTGATCGGTAGTTGTTCATTTGGTTCTAAATTTAACTGTTCTTAAATAAGTGAACTCTTACAGATTTAATTTTATTGAATAATGTGTTATAGTAAAGTTGTCATTAAGTTGGGTAATTTGCACATCACTTAAAAGATATAAATGCCTCTACCCATGCAGGAAAAATGATGGGTAACAACGTCACTGTTAGTGTGAGATCAGTACCGATGAATGCGACCAAACAACCAGGACAGTTTCAGAGCTCCCAAGAAAGTTAGTATTATTTGTTGGCAGGCTGAGCGAAATGATTTATATAAGCCAGGCTGTACTACTGTTTCGGTGCTCGTCTTCATTTAGTCTGATTTTTGTATAATCTCATCATAGTTACACGAAATTTTTTCAGCTCAGCAGCTTTCAAACACTGACAGTAGTGTGATGGAAGGTTCAGGATTAGGAGCTATTGGTTCTCGTAATGGTCAGGCGACGGGGAATTCCGCTTTCCCTTCAAGTAAAACTTCAATCTCTTCTCAGCAAATGGCTTCTACAAATCGCGATAATCTTCCTGGTGTTACATGTGGTATGTCTTGGATGTTAATCGCAAGTTCCACCTTTATTTTCTTAATCTGGAAAGAGTCCTTTGGTTTTATATTTTATTCTATCAGAGTCCTTGAAGAAAGAAGCATAATATGCCATTATTTCTTTTGCGTTCATTCTTTGTAGCGTGCTTTGATTCGCTTTTAAGGCAGCTGAAGTCCTTCACATGTAATTATTTTGATGATAAGATCCTGAGAAGGCTAACTAAATTGTTTAAATGGTTTTTAGATTGCTTAAATTTTTATCTCAGGTGGGAATAGCGAAATGCATGCTGTAACTTTGTCTGGTAGAAAACAGAAAGATCAAAGAATTAGTGACCGAAGTGGTGACCAGAGGTCAAACAGCACGGTTGAACAGCACCATTTGACCAATGGGCATGAGTCATTGAACATGCTAAAAGTGAGTAATTTAGTTTCTTTTAACTTGTTTCAGAGTGTATTTTGACGCGTGAGAAAATAATTTAACATCTGAGCTTTCCAATATTTTTTTTTGGACATTATCTACGAGTAATGAAAAAAAAGTTGTGTTGGATCGCTTAGATTTTTTTTTCTTTTCTTGCACAAACTGGGAGATACGAGTGCTTTACATTTATGTAATTACTATATAAACGATTTCAAGTACAGTTGCAGTTGAAGAAAGATTGTATGTCGTCGAGAAATTGCTTGGTGCTTTGTCATTGGGATATTACTTAATAATTCGGCCCTCGAAAGTTTTAAAACCAAACTGAGAACCTAAATTTGAAGCAAATACTTTTTTTTTTGGCACTTCCTATCATTATTATGCCAATCATACATCGTTAAATGTTTAGTAACCTTAAACTCTTAAATTTAGGAACGCGGATTTGCTCAGGTATGCAACGGAATGCTTCCGTTATCGCAGTCAAATGATGATGAGCGGAGATTAACAGGTGGGTTGGCTTCAACAACGACAGTAACTGATACGCAGCAACCGCAACGATGTTCCCCAAAAGCTGGAGGAACAGCAAGACGTAGTCGTCGTAAGGCAGATTTATCGCTAGAAGCGTTGTCTTATGATGACGAGGATGAAATTACCGTCCCAACATTTGGCACAACTCAATGTAATTATTTTTGTTGTTTTTTTTTTTCTAATTACAAACTTCTGGCAGTTCTGTTGCTTTCACTTTGGCGCATTGCATTTTTGTATCGGATATATATGTAGAGGATTATAACGGAGAAGGTTTCTTCAGCTAATTTTTTCGAGATAACATTTAAGACAACCATTGCGAATAAAACGGGATCATCCTGTCCTAATATATTTAATACACTGAGAAATTATAAGCGAGAATTTTTGGAATTTGTTGGTGCCCAACAATAGCGATGAATTTTAGCAGCGTATCAAGCTCCGTATATGAGACGTGTAAGCGGTCCCGGTGGTATTGTTGTTGGATGTAGTGGAAGCGTTTCAGCGCAACCTCCTTTCGCAAATATCAGTGTTCAAAGTGCTCAGAATAATTTTTCTGCCACAGTAGCTCGACAGCAGCAAATGTTAAAGCAGCAAGTAAGGAATTTTATTAGATCCGGGTATCCACTTATATACTTTTTAGGTTCAGTTAAGAAAATGTTATACAAAAATGAGTCGTTTCTTTCAAAACGAGCAATTGATCCGAAATTATGCATACCGTTCTGCTGTGATGCTTCCATCTCTGTTCCATCGAATATAAAAGCCACATTTCAGCCGAAAACGTCGTAACGTTTTTGTACAGAGAACAACGGCCTCAGCTAATTACCACTTTTAATAAGTCATTTGTGATCACTGTGTGAGACAGTTTTGTTATGCGATGTTTTTGTTCAGTATTCTGCGCTTCAAGTGGGAGTTCGGTTCACGCTCAACTTTCAAATTAGGTCTGATTTCCTATTTGTGTTTTTTTTTCCTGGCAATTCTTTTTTGCTGTTGGTTCTGTTGTTTTTTAAACCGGTGTAGTTACAGAATTTGAAGATCGTAAAGTTAATTTGCCGCAACTTTAAGGTGCGATAATTCCACTAAACTTTAATGTCACTTCCATGTTTTTTTTAACTGTACCATGATTCCCGTTACTTGCTGTTTTTTCTTATAACCAAGAGATGAAAAGTTGGAACTGAAGACTTAGTAAATGTTAGCGAATGCTAAGTTTTAGAGTTAATGGTTCGTCTGGCCTTTCTCTCAGTTTCAAAATTCTTCATTTTTCTCATAGCGCAGTGCCATCTTTCATCTAAAATCCGGACGTTTATGCCTTAGTGAGGTCCCCAATATTTTATCCTTGTCGTTATCGCATTACAGTATAAACTGTGTAAGACTCATTTTTCCGAGTAGTCTCATTTCTTATCTTTCATTTCTGAAAGTCGATTAGCTCATGTTTGATGTATCTTGCAAAATTTAAAAATTTAGGGTAGGACTATATAGAAATGTCAAAACTTCACTAAAATTAGCTTCACTATCTGCAAAAAAGAGTATCAACTCTTGTCCTGAGGAAGCTAATTTGTATGAAACTTTGGTCTTCGCGCGTAGTTTTGTCCATGCGATCTCGTCATTTTGCGTAGTCATACAATAAATTTGTTTCATCGTTTCATTTCTCCGTTATATTGTATATTAAAAGCATGCAATTCTCCAGCGTTTGATAATTTGTGGTATGTTCTGTACGTTTAACAAGTTTTCATTACACTTTGTTTTATCTCTTCAGTTAAGTGGATTAATTTGATTTGAAATTCAAATCAACCTTGTAACAGTGTGTCTCAATGTTTCATGGTTCATTCATTGTGTATGCGTTATTTTTGCTTAGATATCCGCCACTACAGAACAATTTCCTCACACAATTTTCGGAAGTCTTTGCAATTTTTTTTCTCAAAAAACCCACTTGTGTGCTACTGTCTAGTAAGATAACGTGTGTTATGTGCACTGTCTTTTTTTTTTTCAAATATTGTATGCACGCATGAGGAAAACGTGAAATGTCTTTCGATAATAATGTTATTTGTTTTCCCTGAAGTGTTTTTTGTTTAATTCAAAATAATTTGACAAACCACGCAAAATCTGATGCCTTTAGGTTAGCAGTGTTTAGAATAGGCAGGCAGTAGGCGCTAGCGAATTTATTTCTAGCAGTCGTTTTCGTTTAAATATTATAGTATACATTTGTACATTCGTAATCCAGAGTGTCTTATAAAAAGATGTATGAGTAACATAAGTTGGGGATGACACAGTATTGGTTGCTCATTGCACTGTCTTGCTAATTTCAATCTGTAAGAAAAGTAACTGCTCGGAATTTATCGTTGCACAGAGAATAAATTATTGACAAGATTTCTGTTTTGCTACGTTTTTTCTTACAGAGTTGTTGAATTGAAACTACGAACACATCCCTTTTAAAATTTAAACATGAAGGCCTGGAAGATGAGATTACTCACGCAACAGAGATCGATTTTAAATGGTCAGATTGATAAGATTCTGAAGAAGGCTTTGCACTAAACTGCCGCAAATTTGCTGTTTCGTTCCATACAGTTTTCTGCTGTGGTATTTCGTACTCATTGCATAAATTATTTTGATTTTTGGAAATTGTTTCTACTTTTTCATTTAAATTTACACAAGACGCGACACGTTTTAATGTGTACGTATGATGTGAAAATAAAAATTGTACTAATATGTTTCTCCGTCATTCATGGCAGTTTCCAGTATGCAATGAAGACTCGCATAATCCACGGTGTATCCATGTCCCATGACTTAATAAAAGTCTATAATATCATGAGTTAATAACTTGATTTGAAATTAGTGAGGTGAACCTTGGAGATTACTGTTGTAGGGGAGGATAGGAGAAGGGAATTTGACATTCCATTGAGAAGAAAAAGGATGGGAGGCATGATATGGTTAGTAAATTTTCGAAATGAATGTCAATTCAAAAATTAGTTTAATTAAAGAGGGAGCTCCTGATTACACCTGAAACATGTTGGAGCGTAATTGCAGAAAGGATTTAAAATCACGACTTTGATTAAAGTGAAAGCTTCGACAGCAAGAAATCAAGTAAAACATAGGACCTAAGTAATGGTATCAAGCAAACGAAAGCAACTACAGATAAGTGTGCATGTCACGCGTATTTCAAACCTATTAGAATAAGAATCAATCAAGGAAGGATATAAGTAAATTTTCATTCAATCACAGGCGAAATATTTTGAAATAGAGTTTCGGTGTAGGATCAAATCCTTAATCATGGAAATGTAGTACAAGAATCTGCATGCATGTAGAGAAATATTTATCTCGTTAAACGAAGATAAAACTAAAAAATAACTTCAGTGCGAACATTGGGACGGAAGACTTCTACAAACAGGTTTCGAAAAATGATGGTATGTTGCTTTATCAACTTACCGTTTTATTGACTAAAATTCCTGACCGAAAGCTATGATTCGGTGAAACGGCTAAACAACTTGTAAATACAAAATTGCT